TGGCCGGGTCTGGGTTGTGGTTTAATTGGCCCAAATCATGGGCAACCCTTTTTAATGTTTTCAATTCTTTTTTTTTGACTTATTTTATTTAATTTTTGTACTTCAATTTGTATATTCTTTTTCTAATTTTATAAAATTGAAAAATTTAAAATAAATTCCCAATATATTCCAAAATTAAACTAATTAATTCCTAAAATTATTTTAAAAATTATTCCAGGACGAATTCGCAATTAAACAATTAAAAGTGCAAAAATGGATCCTTTTTGTTATTTTCCATATATTCTTTTATAAAACAAATTAATCGCTGATTAATACCAACATATGAAATTAGATCCTAAATGCAAATGCATATTTTGTATTTTATATGAATTGACTAGGCATAAATAAAATGCAATAACTATCAGAAAATGACGCCAAACTGCACAAAAATTGTATAAATAAAGAAAAAGAATCATTTCGTTTGAATTTTAGGAATAATTTGCTTAGGGCAAAATCACGTGCTCACAGCAACCAAAAGGCATATTTTTAAATATGTGTACTCTTTTTCCTTTATTAGGATTTTTTTCCCATAGGGTTTTTTCCTAAGAAGGTTTTAACGAGGCACATTATTTATGGACATCCAAAGGGGAGCGTTATGATAAAAATCAAAATATGGTGGATGTCTACTCTTCCTCCATGATCTTTCTTTCAAATAGTTAATGACGTATTTTCTATGTTCAATGACATATTCCATGACATATTTTCTTTACTTTTCATGCATATATAAAGACCTTGTAATAGATAGGAAAATACACACAATTGAAGAAGAAAATCTCTTCTTTCTCTCTATCTCTATTTTTGTTCATGTTTTACTAAGTTGCTTTTATTTCTTGTTCATACTTTACTAAATTGCTTTTATTTCTTGTTCATACTTTACTAAATTGCTTTTATTTCTTGTTCATGATTTACTAAATTGCTTTTATTTCATAACAAGATTAATATAATATACCCATTATTGTGGCAATTAAATAAAAGAGAATGAATCAACGCCTAAAAATGGGGATTGTATTACAACAATAATTTCTTCTATTTAGAGAGGGAAATGTGCAGTAATTCATTCATCAATGGCACTACCATTTTCTTCATCTTCCTCAGTCCTACCAATCTAGATTTTTCCCAATCAATTTCTGTGTTCTTTTCGCTTGTACTAATTTCGGAACACTTGACCCTTATTTCTTCTATTTCGATTTGTTGCGTCTCCATTTACTATATATTGGCAGCAGCAAAATTGGCCGTAGGCCTTTCCCTGAAGATTTAGACGGAGAAATTCTACTCAGGCTGCCCGTGAAGTCGTTGTTGAGATTCAAATGCGTGTGCAAGAACTGGTATGTTCTTATCAAGAGCCCCGCTTTTATTAGAAAACACTTGAATTGTAGCAAGAATAAGCCTTCCCAATTCATGATTTATGATTATAATGCGCGTGATGATTCCCCTCCCATTGCTTTGATTCCAGAGAATCATGGAGATGGTGAATCTCCTGATTATATCCATAGATTTAAAGGTATGACGAATGTTATAGGCTCTGTGGATGGATTGTTTTTGTTGCAGAGAGAAATTGATCCCGAAAACAGATACATGCAAATCTTTGCAATGGCGCTGTGGAATCCTTCGACCAGAGAGGTGAGGCACCTCCCTCATCACAAAATCCAATACACTCACTGTGGGTTCAGATTAGATCCCTTGACTAATGACTATAAGGTGGTTTACTATAATTTCCACTGTGGTGAATATGAATATGCAGCTGTCTACTCTTGTTCTACCGACTCATGTAGAAACATTACACCTAAAATTAAATTCTATTCATACGGACGCTCTTTACATGAATCCTATGGTACTGCTTATCTGAATGGGGCTTATTATTGGCTGCTAAGCGAGGGGCTTAAGTACAGCATTGTTTTGTTTGACTTTAGCAATGAGGTGTTTGAAGAGATTGAAGGGCCAGATGATATCTCTTTTAGTTCTCTGATATTGCTTGACGACTCGGTTGCCCTCTTGCCCTTTTATGGAAATTGTGTTCATGATATATGGGTAATGATCCAACCAGGGGTTTGGAACAAACGTTTTACCTTTCAATGCTTCACTTATCCTAGGACTTGGTATTCCAGCTGTCTCATTTTGGTAACTAAACGTTCTCGGCTAGTCTCCTATAATGTTAGGACTACGAAGACAAGACGTCTTGGATTTTGTCACCCAGTCCTGCGACGCAACTGTGGGGTTTATGTTTATAAGGAAAGCTTAGTAACATTGAAATGAGAGAATGTATAGCAGCTGGACCATTGCAACTTTCCTGATGCCTCCTTTGAGCTTTATATCCATTAGATTAAGAGGTGAAGCTCCAGAATGATGGACCGGGTTGGTTCGGTTTTTATCACAATCAAACCAAACCAACTATATCGGTTTGCATTGGTTCGGTTTTGCCGTGTTTTTCGGAATTTTTGCTTACATAAATATTATTTCAATCTTACTTTGTTAAATTTTTAATAAGTAAATATATGTTTAGTAAAAAATAAAAAAATTGTCAAACGTGTGATCTATTAACATATTCTCATGGGAGAATTTTCTTAGTAATTAGCTTTTTCCCTCTCGAAATCCACAAGGCTTTGGTGGCATTTCTCAGAGTGAGTGAGCAACAAATAATTAGCTGTCGAAGCACAAATGTGAATTAACAATTAGTACTATAATAAGTTACTACTAGTAATCCTTTTCTTAATGTGGATTACTAATATTAATCTTTCTGCAGAAATAGAAGAGAGAAGATATCCTTCTTTTTTTCTGGTTACTCTTTTGTCTTTAATTCATGCTAAGCAGTTAATCATTATTTCGCAAAGATAAATAAATAGAAAAGAGATAGGGTGTCCCGGCCACTGTAATTAAGCAGAACATTTATATGCATGTATATTCCACACCATAGTATATAGAAACAAGTACTAGTATTTCTTTATTTATTTTTCCAGCTCCTACTCCAGTAATTATGATTATTAATTATACAGGAATGATGATTTTGGTGCTCTTGGATTTACCATCACAGCCTCTAGTGTCTGGACTTGGTGGGCAGGGAATGAAATTCCCCAACATCTTATCAAGACAAAAGAAAATTTCGTGGAGGAAGGCATGGGTAGTATTTTTATCAGTGCATGATATATAAACAACATCCACTTGGTTATTAATGTTGAAGTTTGCCAAAATGCCAAAGTCCCACATTGGTTGGGAGTTAAGTATAGGGGGATTTTTCCCCTATAAAAGAAGGCCTAATGTTTAGGATTGAAACACACCTCTCATTTGCCTTCTCATCTGTTTAAGGCATTTGTATCTTCTCTCTTTAGTATTATTTCACTTGTATTTT